ACACTGTAATGTGTTATCAAAATAGTAAGTTCTGTAATAGGATCTTTTACAATAATTTTCCCGTGCCGGAGGCACGGGTCGCATGCTAGTCATTATTGAGATATGGCTGTGGCATGCAGATCATCTGACCAGACTTTTGGGGTCGCCCTGCCCTGGCAAACTCATCTCAATGAATCAGTTATAGTTATTGTATAGATTATAAAAATTAACTAAATTTGCACGGGGTTACATGGCCGAAGGCCATGTAATTTAGCCAGTACAAATTTAATTATTTTATAACCCATATAATAAGAGTATTTATTTCTATAGATGTTAGGCGTAATTAGAGATTTTTTTCATTGACAATTAGTTTTAACTTTTGCAAAAAAAAATTTAAAAATGTTGAAAATCCCAAGACACACAAGTGTATAGGATCACAAAGTCTCAACAGAATGGCAATCTGCCCCTAAAGTTTGCTTTTATTGTGATCAAATGGGTCATCTCAAAAGGGATTGCCCTCAGCTTAAGGAAGCTCTAGAATTAAGACAACTTTACAGAGAACTAAGGGAGAATAAAAAGAAGAATCAGATGATTATCTCTAAAAGTACCTTTAACAAAGACAATCTCTACGTCAATGATAATGTTAAGGAAAATGAGATAAATGCAATGTCAAAAGATTCTAATAATAATACAGAAGAAGAATACATGTCTCAAACAGATGAGAATGACTTGGAAGAAATGATTGAAACGGAAAAAAGTTTTGCAGAAGCAGTACAAGATGTATCCACTGAATTTGATGAAATCCAGTTTAATAGTTTATCTCAAAAAACAACAGACATGATGGAAATAAACAGAAATTCAGAGAAACAAACCACACTAAAAAGTACTGACCAGCCAGATAAAGATGGGTTCATACCAGTTACACACAGAAAAAAACCCAAGCTGAAACATAAGACGATAGATGCAACATAATTGAAAACATCCCCATATAGAAAAGCAAGAACACAGAGCCTAAAAGGCTTAAATCTCCAATAACTTTTGTTGATAACAATTAATAAAATAACTATAGCTACTTTTAATGTTAAGGGATTAAACAATAGATATAAACAAAGAGATACACTTACCTTACTTAAAACTTATAAAATCGATATAATTATGATACAAAAAACAAATCTAGAAAAATCAGACACAAGAAACTTTATCAGACAACAATGGATCTTTAACTCGGTATGGTCCTCAAAAGTTGCTATTTTAGTCGGAAATAAAGAGATTAAATTTGAAGAGATTAAAGAATCTTTCAATGGTAGAGTAATAGATGCCTACTTCAAATACAAACATAGATTCTTTCATATTACAAATGTATACGCACCACCTACATTGGAAGAGAGAAAAGTTTTCTTCAATAACTGGTTCTTCCAGATAATTGAAATAAAATCAATATTATCGCAGGTGATTTTAATATAAACACTGATCCAACAGCAAACAGAATAAGTTAGGCAGCATTCTACAGAGATCCTACAGCTGAAAAACTCAAAGACCTCATGGATAATCTAGTTGACACAGCCATAGCTATGTCTCAGAAGCCCTTTCTTACCTTTTTTCAGAAGACAAGAGATAACCAGAGAATGGCTACAAGGCTCGATTATATCTTTATAGAAGATCAGTATGTGCAAAATTGTACATTAACTTATATGAGATTTGGAAATTCTGATCACCTCTTAGTAGAAAGTGAGTTAAACTTTGCCAAGATTTCTTTAAAAGCTGCATACTGGAAATTAAATATAAAAAGCTTGGAGAATGCCCATATGTGAAAAGAAATAATAAATATATTGGCAAAGGCTCTAACCATTAAAGAATAGGATCAGATCAAATGTTAAATTCAGTCAATTATCAGAACAAGTGCCCCTTCTAAGGCCCCAGAGAGTAGTATTAATAAGCAGAGCAAAAAAATTACTAATTTAGAATGTAAAATCGCATGCGGGGAGGTAAACCCGAACCTAGAGTTAATGGTAGAACAATATAAAAGAAAACTACAAGATGAACTCACAAATTTGGCCAACAAATGGCAAATTAGATCTGGGGCATGTTGGCTCGAGGAAGGGGAAAAGTCAACCAAATGTTTCTTTATGAGATATAAGCTCTGACACATGATATCTGCAACAGATAAGATCAGAATTCCTGAGGCACCAGATATATCAGACCCCAAAGAAATTCTACATTATATAAAAAAAACAATATGAAGAATTATACAACCCAGAACCAATTGTTTGGGAAGCCTTCAAAGAATTCACAAGTAACCTTCTGCAAGTCTCTAAAGAGGATAATCTCAATCTGCTCAAACAAATAACAGAGGAAGAAATCACAAATGTAATCTCGTCTCTACCTTGCAATAAAACACCTGGAACAGATGGTTTCACATATGAATTTTATAAGGAAATCAAGGAATGTGGTAAAACTTTCGCAAAAATTTTCAATGAAGTATTAAACACTAGAGTAATGCCAAGTTCCTGGTATAAGAACATTATTTCACTGGTTCCAAAAAAAGAAGAAAATCTAAAAGATATCAATAATTGGTGTCCAATATCCCTAATCAATTGTGACGCCAAAATTTTCATGAAGATTTTGGCCAATAGACTTAACGAAATCTGCAAAAGCATTATAGGCACTCATCAGCAAGGTTTTGTAAAAGGAAGGTCAATTATGAACACTGTGTTAGACATTGTAACTACTATACAAAATCAAAGTAATCAAACGTTGCCACATTGGTTATTACTACTAGATCAAATGAAGGCATTTGATCAGGTAAATCATGTTTATTTACAAAAAGTCCCGGAAGTGATGAATTTTGATTAAAGATTTATCAGAATAATTCAAAGGTTGTTTAGAGAACAAAAGGCATTTATTAATAATTGTCGTGGGGTTAATGAATGCAATGAGTTTTACACTCAAACTGCCCGACGGTCTTGTTGTTTATTATATACACTCGCTTTATACTTATTACGTTCTTCTACTTGCAATTCACCCAGTCAACACCTTACAAACGTCCCTCGTAGCCAACACACTCACTTGGTGGCACAGCACTGTTTATTAAGAACTGGTTATTTACAAGAAATTCAAATTGTGTTAGATCGTTAAGATCGAACCTTTTATTTATAGATTTATCATGTGTTATTGCATCATCTATACAATAGCGCCATTGTTCTGTTTAGCCTAATAAATTAAACTTTATATTGCACTATGTTATCTATATGTTATGATGATCATCACTGATATATTATACCCTCGGTACATTGTACCATGTGCAACCAATCACTACCCGTCAATAATGCTGGTATGTTATCTGAACCCTTTAGAATTGGAAGAGGCGTATGTCAGGGTGACCCAATTTCTCCTTTGTTATATGTTACAACATTCGAACTATTCTTAAGATCATTAAATAAAAATTTACGATGCATTCCATCACAGGGCCTAAGTTTCAAGACGGCTGCTTATGCAGACGACTTAACAATAGGAACTGCCTCTCTGACAGATTGGTCTACTGTCAACTCTCAAATTAGAAAATTTGAAGCACTTTCTAATACTAAGATAATCAAAGCAAACTCGATCTTAGTTCCACTTACGGCAAATGCCAGACGTACAGAGACTGAGGACACAAAAAGCTTTAAAGTTTTAAATGAGAACGATCCAATAAAAGTGCTAGGATATCAACTTGATAGCAAGGGTTATCCTTACAGAAATGCATGGCCTAATACTATTAATAAACTTAAAAAAATGATAAAAAATATGAAAGAGTGCAATTTATCCTTTAGGGGAAAGATTTTAGTAGCCAAGACAATGTTCATATCGAAAATATGGCACACTGCATATTTAACACCACCAAATAGCAAACAAACCACAGAAATAAATAACATGATAACCCAATGGATAAAAGGCAAGTCCAAAATATTTCCTAGGTATTCAACATTTCAACAAACAACCCAACACGGGATTTAAAGGCACCGGTAATTAAAGATATGCTGGATGCAAAGCTCCTCTTGATCTGGTTAAAACTTCTATCTAGTGAAAACTATTGGGCCAAAGTAGAACGCATAAGAATCAAGACAAGTCTGAGTGACACAAGAAACTCTTCTATAAAATTAGTGCTAAATGTAACTTCAAACAAAACCAAGGCATGGCCTGAGAAATGGAAATTGTATCTCAAGGTGTGGAGAAGAGCAGAAGGTGTTTTACTAAGCGGGCCCGATAATGGTCCCTGGGATGTGAGAAACATTAAAATAATTAATAAATCAGGCGGAGAATTTTCCATACGAAAGGTAGTAGAATTTTTTCAAGGAAAATCAATAAGACTGAATTCTGTGCGAGGTGACAATGATGCTGACCCAAGAAGGCCCGAGCTTTGGAATTGGCAAGAAATAAAAGGGGTTTCAAACAAAAGAAAAGATATTTTTTGGCGTCTTCAACATTGTGCCCTACCACTAGGCTATAGACTAAAATATTTTACACAAGACAATGGAATTTGTCCATTATGTGGGATAGAAGCACAAACAATCTGTCACTTTACGATTGATTGTACTACTAGTAAACAGATATGGGAAACCGCATATAAGTTTTTTAAAGAGCCTAGAGAAACTCCGCCAAAAAATGTGGAAGAGATTTACACAGCAGCGAATATAGAAGATACACAGAGAAGAAAGGTGGCATTATGGTTACATATCAATGCTATCTACGAAATATGGTACTGCTATACTCAGGCGAAGTGGGGAGGAAAACCCTTACCAAAACCGATACTTCCACTTATAGTCAAGAACAGAATTAGCAAGGAAATAAAGGTGTTAGCATATAACAATAGGAAGGGTAAAAAGGAAAAGGTGTTAATAATCAATCATCTGATCCCGATATAGTTTTAGGAAAATAACAAATCAAAATTATATTATTCATGTATATGTATTTTTAATGTAAAAGAATAATAAAGCTAGCGCTCAACCAGGCATATAAAAAAAAAAAAAATGTCGAAACTAATGAAAGGTAATAAACCTTACAAATGAAGTAAAAAATTAATTGCTATCATAATCTGCACTAGATTGATTTTTCTAAATAGTTAATTTATAATAATTGTTTACATGATTAAGAACTGTAATATTGATATAAAAAGTTTAAGTGGATTAAAAAATCGGTGCAAAAATAATATTTGAGAAGTAATTTATATTTAAATTGCGGCGCATTAGAAATTTTTAGCCACTCGGATCAGTGATGTAATTGGTTTCATCCAATGGAAAACGATATTTGTATTCGTCCAATGGGTAGTGGGGGAATTAGTAGACCCTTAAAAAGGGGCATTAAGTAAGTCTGCCAGCAGATTATGCATAAAAACAATTTCGATTTCTAAACTTTAAATTCTGGGCCCGGAATTTGAATAACGCACCTAACTCTAACGTGCAGTACGTACGTACTAAAGTTGCAAGTGTAACTAATCTTCAATGGTGCACCAATGGTGAAATTAGAGTTATATATGAAACTAATCTTCAACAGTGCACCAGTTTCCTGGTGAAATTAATTAGCTTCACCTGCAACTCTAGTACGTACGTACATACGTACAGTACGTACACATGTGAAATTGTATCTAACGACATAAATGATCGTTGTGCAACGTTATACGTACATGTCTTTAATAAATTTTGATGTTTTCATATCTATATGTGACACATTCTTTCTTACGGCAAGATGTCAAGTTACAACAAACAATTTGTTAAAGAGCCAGAAAAAATTGTTAAAGAAATGTGTAATCTGTATAATGAAGAAAGATTGAAATACCGAGATTCCGATTCAATTCTTGACACATTAGAACAATTTCTAGTAAACAAAGAACAAAATCCAGATGAATTTATCAATTTTTGCTTAAATGATCATGTCAATCCTATAATTCAAAACTTTATTGCAGATTGTTATTATTATGGTAAATGGGTCGAAGAGGATGAACACAAAGCATTCGTTTATTATCAAAAATCTGCTGTGATGGGAAATGCTACCGCAATGAATGATCTCGCAGATTGTTATCGGAATGGAATAGGAGTTGAAAAAGATGAACAAAGGGCATTCGTTAATTATAAAAAATCTGCTGAGATGGGAAATGCTTCTGCAATAAATAGCCTTGGATGTTGCTATGAAAATGTAATAGGAGTTGAAAAAGATGAACAAAAGGCATTCGTTAATTATAAAAAATCTGCTGAGATGGGAAATGCTTCTGCAATTAATAACCTTGGATATTGCTATGAAAATGGAATAGGAGTTGAAAAAGATGAACAAAAGGCATTCGGTAATTATAAAAAATCTGCAGAAATGGCAAATTCTGGTGCAATATATAATCTCGCAGATTGTTATGAAAATGGAATAGGAGTTGAAAAAGATGAACATAAGGCATTCGTTAATTATCAAAAATCTGCTGAAATAGGAAATGCTTCTGCAATAAATAGTCTTGGATATTACTATCGACATGGAATAGGAGTTGAAAAAGATGAACATAAGGCATTCGTTAATTATAAAAAATCTGCTGAGATAGGAAATGCCTCTGCAATATATAATCTCGCAGGTTGATATAAAGATGGAATAGGGGTAGAAAAGGATGAACATAGGGCATTCATTCATTATCAAAAATCTGCCGAAATGGGAGATTCTGGTGCAATAAGTCAAATTCGATATTGCTATCTACATGGAATAGGAGTTGAAAAAGATGAACAAAAGACATTCGTTAATTATAAAAAATCTGCTGATATGGGAAATGCTTCTGCAATAAATTGCCTTGGATATTGCTATCGACATGGAATAGGAGTTGAAAAAGATGAACAAAAGGCATTCGTTAATTATAAAAAATCTGCTGAGATGGGAAATGCTTCTGCAATATATAATCTCGCAGATTGTTATTTGAATGGAATAGGGGTTGAAATGGATAAACATAAGGCATTCGTTAATTATCAAAAATCTGCTGAATTGGGTGATGCTTCTGCAATATATCAAGTTGGATATTGCTATCTGGAAGGAATAGGGATTGAAAAAGATAATTATAAAGCATTTCTTTATTATCAAAAAACCGCTGAGATGGGAGATGCTGGTGGAATGTCTAAACTTGGTTATTGTTATAGGAATGGAATTGGAATTTCGAGAAATTTACAAAAGGCTGACTATTGGTACCAAATGTAAATAACCTATTTATTTAATTTTTTACTGTAATTATAAATTTTAACATGCATTTTCTAATAATAATTAGGGCAAAAAATAAGAT